TTTTTTTTTTTAGTTATTTTTAAGGGCAAAGTATTGACAATCAAAATGTGTAGATAAATCTCTGTAAAAAATTGTACTAAATTTTTTTACACCACTATGTTATAGAAGTGTGTCCCACTGGGTAATAGGGGTGTGCGATATATATCGTCTGCGATAATATCGTAATTGTTGTTTTAACGATGTGCGATTTGACATTATCGAGTATTTTGCAAAAACCATTCAAAACATCCCTACAGAGCGCATGCATACATTTAAAAACATTAGGAGTCAGCTGTCTTCGGCAGTCCTTAAGGTACCAGCACAATAACACACTCAGCAAAATATCGTCTAATTATCGTTATTGATAAAATCCCATAAAATATCGAGATATAATTGTTTGTCAATATCGCACACCCCTACTGGGTAATACAATTTTTTACACATGGTTGCGGTCTTCATACCCACTTGAACACTTGGGCCAAATAAAGGAAATACATGTAAGTAAACAAAGTGCAAAGATTGCAAGTGTGCGTATTGCAGGCCTATATCTCCCTTTTCTTTTGATTTGTTGTTGTTGTTGTTGTTGTTGTTTTTCCATTGAAGTGGACTATTGTTTAGCAGAAGATTTAAGATAATATTTAGGTAAGATAATTAAAAATCAATTCAAATCAATATTTAATTTAATAAATCAATATGTTCACCTATTTATTTATTTGCTGATCACCTTGTTGCAGTTATTTTGCAATTTCATTTTTTAGCCTCCTGTCATCATCACTGTATTTTTATGGTGAATTTCTGGGAACTACTGCTGCAAGGTTGTTTTTTGTTGTTGTTGCTTTTTTTTTATTGAACATGGTTTTTTTCATCGTGGGTCTATGAATGAAGTCCTTTTCATATCTGATAACAGGTTTAAAAACTAATGCATGGCCTGCATTTTCGTATGTAAATGTTTACCTTGAAAAGGTTCTAAAGAAAACATACTGCTTTACTCTGAAAAATCCATTGACCTTCGAGTGAATTTTGATTTTGATTTGAAGTGATGCCAGGCTGTGTGGGGAGCAGTTCATCAGGATGTCACTAAAGAGGATGTGGCCTTAGGCTAAACTTGACTTTGAGATCCTTTGCAAAACAGCAAATATTCCCTTTTGCTACTGAGTGCTACAAAACCATTCATCAGATAGAAAGCCACACATCTTTTCAAGTCAAATTAAAATTCTAAAGGAAAATGATTCATATTGTGACATAATAGACCCAATAGACCCATAAACATGCCCAATTGATTTTGATCATTCTGCTCAGCATTGTTTATTTCATGACATCCGTTCATTATTGACGTAATTATCTCTATGAACGGTATTCTGTCATTAGTGTTTCTTGTCTACATGGTTTATTAAACCATAAAAGCCTGAAAGATTGCTTTATACTTGGGTTTACATGAACGAGTGAAAATCGCTCCACTCACTTCCTGTGTCTGTAGAGTCACTCAGCATCAAATCTCATTTTCAGGTCACCATGTCTGGTAACAAGCCAATCCAGACTTAGGCCAGTGTTACATGAGCTGTCACACTCTGAAAACGTGTGAGCGTTCACTCAACAAGCTTCACAACCTCACTTAAACAAGGTTTGAGAGTCTGTGCTCCAAACTTGTGAGGTGTATAATGTAGGCAAAAGTATGACAGAAGAATAAATGGTGTGAGGACAAGAATAAATGGTGTGTGGCCTATAAATAAAATGTATTTTCAATCTCCCCATAGTGTGCTAGTTCTCACATACCATATGCACCTGATATATTTGGACTTTATTTCTTGCCATTTTTGGCACCGATGCTTCTGTTTGAATAAATGGTGTGACCATTTAAAAGGAACAGACAACTATCTGAATGGGGAAGGGACAAATGTCTTGAGGATTCATTTGAGGACATATTAAGAGCACAAAGCCGTTTGCAACTGACCAGCTGTTGTTGCTGTGGTCTCAGATAGACTGTTCAACTGTCTGACACATATCGCACACACAAATTTTACATTTACATTTATGCGCTATAGCAGATGCTTTTATCTGTGTATCCATGCTTTTATCCGAATATGAACATCTGGATACTTCACTGGTTTCTATGCAGAAGTTTTAATCTGACCGCAAGATTTGTCTCAGCTTGCAATTTTCATATTCATTTTCGAGCTTAATTGTATATTCAGAAAGTCATGAATTTGTATGAGTAGATGATGGCAGAATTTTCTTTTCTGGGTGAATTTTCTTTTTAAATTAAAATTCGTCAGAGCAACTAAAAAATAATTTAGTGAATCTTTGATGTCTGGCCTACTAAAAGAACTGAAAGGGCTGCATATCTTAAAACATTAAAAAAAATAAGATTTTTCCAAAAATAAAAAGGCTTAGGCATTACTTTTAAAAGATGATATTTGGGTTTGTTCATGTTCAGTTCAGTCTAAACCAGAAAACTTAGCAATACAAATCCACTGTAAATCTGAGTCCTAAGCCTACTTCTCATTCTCATATGGAACTATTCTGAGATTCTGGTGAATGCCTTGGAGAAAAATGTCCTGTTGATTGCACATTCTATTCTTCCTTTCTTATTCCACTCTTAGTCACATAGCTGGCTACATTCAAATTCCCATCAGCTCATTTACATTCTCTACAGGAATTCTGGGTAAATAGGCATCTAGAATTCAAAAGCAGAAGCTGCTGGTTACTGCGTGACTTTCACTGTTCAATGACCATCACATACCAGCATAATAAATCACAAAGGCAATCAAAGCATTCATGGCAGATTTAGACAGCATTGCGGTTTGAGAAGGCCTAAATGGCTGAAGCAATTAAAAACTCTTTTTAAATAGCAAATAGAGAATGTGGGACAATGTGGCTCATAAATTAGGCTAAAATACATATCCAATATATGTGAAAGCAGATAACATACAATTCTGCAAACTTAGCTAGTCATGTATTTTTATTTGTATTTCATCCTGCATCTGTTCCATGTTCTGCAGCCAGAGTAAGAAACAGTTTCTTTGAGCCTAAATCAGTTTGTTCATGCCCCTGCCAGATCCAAATGTGACATGTCAGGACATACACTTTAGACCCAGCCTGGGGTCCTTTACAGATGACACCCACGACCCTGTCTCTTGTACTTTTTTTTAAATTTTGTCATCTGGGGGTCATTAAAAAGCCATGCCCACTGTAAAAAAAAAAAACTTCTGGCAGGAGGGACATTACTGTAAAACACCAAGCATAAATACAAACAACAAGTAAAACACTCAATATGAAAAAAACAAATTCCTTCATATTAATACAGTTGTGGCCTGTTTTTACTGATTTTTTTAGAGTGCATTTTGACTCAGTATTGACTCATTTTTACTCAGGAAAATCTGGTTTTGAGCAATTAATTTTATTAAATGTAATCTATTATTTATTTGCTCATTTTAAATGTATTATTATTATTATTATTATTTTCAAAAAAAGACGTTAAGCAGGATTAAGGGACTATAACATAATTAAACAAAAATAAAAACAGTTGCCAGCATTTAATATATTGTAGCATAATAGGTTAACTTGGATGATTTTCAGGTCAAATTTCTTACATGAAAATAGAGGTTTTGCTCTTTACACTGACAATGTGGTTGCTAAGCTCAGAACGCATGGCATTTATGTCAGTTTTAAAAGTATTTATGACACAGGTTACAATCTTCTTGATAAGAGCAAGGAAAGAGAAGAAAACATGTGAAGACTGCAGGTTTGCTCTTTCATTCAGGCTTTAGGCAAATGCACCTCAAAAGTTAAGCTAATGTTCTGCTTCACAGCCACTGCACAGCTTTCTGCCTGAGCACACATGCACACACGTTTTCACACATGCATGCATACGCACATACCAGTTTCCATACGGCTGTGGCTGACGGGGAACCAAGGTCACCTTCAGTGATATCACAGCTTCTTCCTTAGGCAACTCCAGTCCCCCAACACAAACACAGAGAGAAAAGAA